GGGCAGCGATGAGGCTGCACACCACTGAGCGGCAGCCCATCCATCTCCATGGCCTCAGGAGGGGTTGGAGGAGAGCCCTCACCATCGGATGTGACATTCACTCAGGGGGGGTAATGGCTCAGTGATCCATCCTGTTGGTTATTAGGATTTATGTTCTATATCAGAAACAATGAGGTTAACTGAAAAATCCACCGACAAGAAGAGCATTTTACATTAATATTATGCAAAATAAATGGATGCTGTTTTATTTAAAAAAAACCCACTAAGGAATGTAAAGAGACATGCAGCTGATTAAAATTATGACTTTAAAGGAGGGAATTAACTCATTGAACAAACTTGATCCATCAGTTCAACTAACATGTTGACCGAAGGTCTTTAACAGGGTGTCCATGGAGGTACTGCATGGGGGTGGTGAAAAATTTGGTTAATTAGACTTTTTTTTTAATATTCCCTCCTGGAATTTTTTCTCCACTAATTGAAATGTCTTTAAATCCACATTAACATGAATTCAACACACTGTAGTAAACAGATAAATGGAGGCAGAAGATGTCTTTCAGTCATCAATGCTCACATTCAGAGACACACAGGAGCTCTTTAAGCAGGACACCGTTTCATTCACAACACCTGTCAGTCAGCCTGACTTCATTTCAATTCAATTTATTTCTATAGCGCCAAATTCACAACACACGTCATCTCAAGGCACTTTCAGTTCAACCAGATCATCCAGTCAAATTGATACAAAGTTTTCTATCTAAGGAAAACCAGCTGATTGCATCGACTCGTTGACTCAAATACAATCCCTCACACTAAGCATGCTTGTAGCGACAGTGGAGAGGAAAAACTCCCTTTGAACAGGAAGAAACCTCCAGCAGAACCAGGCTCAGTGTGAGCGGCCATCTGCCGAGGCCCACTGGGGTTCAAGGAGACAGAAGCAGATATAGAAAAAGAAGCATAGATACAAAAGGCAACTGTCAACCAGCTCCACAGGCGGCCCCGTCCAGGAAACACACAGCCAGGCAGACGAGCTCCGAGCCAGCTCCCATGTCAGAGGATGAAGAGAGCACATCCAGTTAGTCACAGTCAGAGAAACAGGACCACACTGGAAAACAGGCCGATCTCCAACATCTATAAACAAAGGTGTTGATGGCAGCAGCACAGCTGATATTTCTCTCCAGGATGGAGTCACAGCCAAAACTCTTCCGGTCTCCTTATTTTAAAGGACTTCGAAGGATCCAGTCCAGGTAGACCGCGTCCTTGGAGGATGCAGCCCAGGTTTTCGAACAGAGCCTCTGATTAAGAACAGGGTTGCCCGCACTGACGCGGCTCAGGATTACGTCACACGCAGCGTCGTGCGCAGTGCTCTACTGCCTGTAAATTTAATGGTCCAATTAAGGTCATTTAAAAAAATCAGGACATTTCCTCACTTTCTAAAAAAAACCCGGGACGCCCGGGACAGGACATGAAATACGGACGTTTGGTCACCCTACTATAAAGGGTTAAGATGAACAGCAGTCCCCGGCCGGTTGGCATCAATAATGACCTGATTCCCCTCCTACCTTTGTGGTGGTTTTCAATGGTCAAAAATCAGGACACCTTCAGTCGATCATCTGATTGCCTCAGGACGGGAGAAGAAGCGTTTATTTCAAAGATCAAATTCACATGCTGTCCTCAGTACACGTAACACAGCGCTGAACACTTCAACAGAACATATCTGGCTTTTCTCTCTTGCAAGTTCTCGACTCACATACCAATCCACAGAGCATTTATAGTCTCATCTTTGCACTATGTGTACGCACATGCACAACGGAATATTGCCGACATCTTACTGGAATGCACGTGCGCAGATTTGCGTCAAAGTCACTGCGACCCTCAAGGAATGTTTATACGTGATGTTCATGCAGCCTAGGAGACCATGGTGTTACTGAGATTCAAAACTGACCTTTAAGCTTCGTTCCTGAGGCAGTGTACAGCCATGCAACAAGTCTATATAAGGCAAATAGCCTGCTTCAACATTCCCCCCTGTGCTTCATTGTAGATGAAGTACTTTGTGGTGTTGCATGGTGATGTGAATACTACGCAACTAAGTGCACTTACGCGTGTGTGAAGTTCAAGTGAAAAAACGAAATCTTAGTGAGACAACCAAATCTTAGTGAGACCGACACTGTGTGGAATGGGTGTGAGTCGGGAAACATCACATAATACGAAAATCAAATGAATAACATTGTTAAAACAAACCTAAAGTGAATAATAAAACAAAGTGAATGTTACTGAACCTTCAAAGAAAGATCATCATTTTCCACATGGCCATGATTCGATTAGTATGGGATCGAAAACCCCTTTTTCGTCCTGTGGGCATCTTACTCTTTCATTTCATACTCATTTAAGAGGAAACTATCCCATCGACCCATGCTTCCCCCAAACATCCATCCTTCCTCCGGCGTCGGCCGTAGCACAAATCGCATCCTGACCATGCTACTCACGATGATCTGTGAAACCAACACTGTTTGAACCATTCAACCCAATCTTGATATTACTTAATATGTGAAGGATAACTATTCAAAACATTTCAAATAACTCAAACTTAGTCATAGTGTGTCGTAGTATATAAGCTAGGTAAATGAAAGAAAAAGAAAAATTAAGTTGGTCAGTCAGTCAGTAGTCTGAGTCCCCAGTCCTCTAAACAGCGGCCCATGTATGGTTTACAATGTGAAATAATAAAACAGTAATACAGGTTATAATGCAAAGCAATGGTATGTTACAATCATCAGGTTTATATTTACAGAATACAATAATAATCGATGCTTGTGTGGTCTTCTTTCCTGTTGAAAAAATCAAAAATATAGTTCTTTCACTTCAGGGCTCTGTCCTTGGCTTTTAAAGGCATGAACACAGGATCACAGGTTCCCGCCTTTAGTATTTTGCAGGCGGAAGTCGAAGGTTTGCAGTCTGCCTGGGGTCACCGGTCTTTACAATCCATCCCCTCAAAATGAGTAAGACAGAAAAACCACAATTAGTGTTCTTATCAGCAAATATCAACTAATCATAGAAAATATTATTCCAATCCTATTGTAGTACATAGTGTTTGACTTATCTAATTCAATTGGAGAAGGATCCCATTCCCCCCTGTGATGCTTTCATCACATCTGGTCCTCTCGGTCATCCATCTGCTGGTCGCTCCCTGTTGTTGCATTCTTTCGACGTGCAGCTAGAGTTCGCTGGTCCTCTTGTCCTTTCATTACTCTTTGATGTACCTCCCTTAATATTTGAGTTCAGTCAGTCTGCTCCTTGGTTGTCCTGGTCCCCTGGGCCTCGCATATCGTTCATGTGTCCATGGCTTATGTGGATCCAGAGTGAGGGCAGTCCTTGTCCCAGTGTCCTTAAATCTCACTATCAGATGTTATCCTGCGAGGAAAGAAAAACTGACCAGTATCTTGAAACGAAATCTAGAGATGTAACACATCCTTTTTTTCATGAGTCCATTTTCTGTAATTAATGTTCAAATTAAAATAAGAGAACTTTTGATTGTTGCAGTAAAGTCCCATTGTCTCTTGGTGTATCTTCTCTCTTATCTGCAATTATTAATATTTCCAAATATCCTCCAATAAACTGTAAAATTTAAATCTCAGAGAATTAACCTTTCTGATAATAATGAAATAAATCATGTAACACGATTGTAGGACTTCAGATTGGACCTCAGGCCAAAACAACAAATAAAATAGTCTATCTTTTGTAGGAATCATCTTACCTGTTTAAAGAAACATGAAATAAATTACAATCATCTTACCTTCCTAAGATAACAAAAACAGGAGAAAACTTTACTCAAAGAAAATGGCAGTCCAATCCTACTGTGCAATCGGTGTTACAGCTTAAAAATGTTCCACAATAATTTCAGGAATCTTGTAATTTAAATACTTGTTAACACAGCTAAGTGTGAGATAAATACAGTCAAAATTCATCACCTTTTCTATTCCTCTGTAAGGTCCTTCTCATCACAGAGTTCCTGGGTCCTTTTCCTCGAAGTGCATCAATCCCCAATTATATGTTAATGACACAAGGAAAGAAAACAAAAACATGAGTAAATAACAGTTTGAATTTACAATGCGACCCTTAAACAGGTTCCTCTTACATGGGAATTAGATTATGAAAGAAAAGACAAGAAATAATATAGTCAAACCGCTCTCAGCTCTCAGGTGTTCTTTTCAGGCTCCATAGCGTACCGAGGCTCAGCCATTTTGTCACAGGGTGGAGGCATCATCTGGGGGCAATTTGGTGATCCTTGCTCTAAAAAATTTTAAACACTGAAAATATTGTTCCTTATTATCTTAGCCTTCTGTTCCAATTTTGTTAACCAGGGTTTTCATGCACAAGAGTAGTAAGAAGTACTAAAGATTTTAGCAGCATAGTAATAATGAGAATAAAAGCAAAAATCCTTTTTCCTCTGGAAGCAAGTTGAGTGCCATCCTACATTATTTTAAATACAATCTGCATTCTGGCTTTCTGTGCTTTATAACAACATTTGTAAAGACATCTAGATCTAGGATTTATTGGACAGTTTATACACTTGGATCACATAATCTCACATTTACATAATATTCCTGAATTCAAATCTTAAGGTGCTTTTCCAGTTGTAAAGCCTGTTTTTATTCAGTGTTTTACTGTTAGAAATGTATTAAGAACATGTGTGACAATCTGCGTTACGTATTGGAGACAGAAATTATGATTAACTTTTCAACTTATTTGTGTAAAGTCTGATTTCTAAATTAAACTAATCCTTGATCTTGCAAACCCTGCAGAGATACATTTTTACTTTTACTTATTTATAATGTTTATTCTGTTAAATATTAGTTGGCTCGGTACAGATAACCAGGAATGTAACCCTTTTAAGATTGTACGTTTCGTCTTGGATATTCATAAACAAGTTAGTGTGTCCACTTTAACCTTAATCACTCCTGTAGTTCTCTGCCAAGCGTGTGCGGCAGTGCACAGAAGTTGCTTAATCAGACTGGAATGCGAAGTGACTGTTTCCTGTCTCTATGAAAGAACCAAGAGGGAGAGACGGACAGAAAAAATGTCTTTCGAAACACAAAGATATTTGAGTAAGTATTAACATACTTTATTCGGCTTTGAGCTAGAACTGTAGTCTGTTTTAGCCTATAATCTGTTTTAAGTCTTTTGTCATCTGCATTTAGGATTCTGATTTGTTTCTATATTAATCTTTAGTGACGTAAACAGTTTTCATTCTACGCTTCACGTAGAATCATCTAATGTAATCTAAAGCATAACTAACCTCTTACATCTATTAATATAATCGGTTCTTCACTTCTTGAACCAGATCTGCTTCTTTGTTCTGTTTCAAGCATTATTTGTTAGTTTCCTCAAAAGGATAGCTTCCTCATATATTGAAGTAAATACATGTTGCTTTTTACCTTTAGGATGTAAGAGTTTTATTCAAAATCCAAGTAACATTTTGTACAAAAACATTTCAAACATTATTCTCTATTTCTGTATCTTACTGAGTAAACACCTAGTCCTGATGCTGGGGGAGAGAAAAAGTCTAACTTAAATAAACATCCTGGTTTATTATTGTGAAGCTAGTCTGAATGTTGATTTCTTAGTTTTACTTAAAGTTTTTCAGAGGTACATCTAGTGCATTATCTAAGGATTCATAGAATCTTTATTTTATGGAAATTCATTGTCTTTAAATACTGCATAGGCTCCTGCTGATTAAATTTTATTTTATGTTGTAGACAGTCTTAATTTTAGTTTTCCTGATTTATTTACTTTTTAGCAGCTTCTTTTGCATTCTCTAATATTTATATTCCATATAGCTTTCAGGTACACATGTTAATCTTACATTGTACTTTGTGCCTAGATAATCACTAGGAGGTTCTTGTTAAATGTTCTTATTTAATTAATTTGAATCATGACCTATTCTCACATAGGCACCTAATTTTCACGTGTCTCCATCTTCTGATTTAGTTCTTAATACTATAGACTGTTTGTTTTAAATCACTGAATTTGGGAGCAAATCTAAAGTATCAGCAGCTGAGCTCTATGTAATATCCATTAATCGTTTTCCTACCTTACTATGACATTTGGCACAAACCGTGAGTCTTCCTTCAGAAAAGGTTTCAGGTTTAGCAGCGTCTGTGAAGAGAAACTTAAAGCAGAATAATTAGTACGTTGTTAATGCAGAATGTGCGATTAAAACCTGGTCCACATTGTGTCCTACATTAAGGAGGCTGAGCCTTTGTACTTAAAATAAAACTGGTCTGGAAATGTTTGATCTTTTCCATTCAAACCTTTGATCAATTAATACATCATGTTTATCAACCTTAACAGAGAATATAGTCATAATGAAGAACACTGATTTGTAATATTTGAAATAACATCTGTAGATTCACTGTTGGCTGAATCTTTACAAATCATAGCTGGTGGTTTTTCAACTTAACTGTTCCAAAAACAAACTAAAAGTAAAATAAGGTTCAAACAGCATCCCATAGGATTCAGGATGTAACCGTTGTAATGATTTACATAGTGGCAATTAGTAACATATTCTGAACATTTTGAAGCTTATTAATTACTGCTTTTAGTTTTCCCAATACTAATTCAGTCTTTGTAAAGTAAACATCAGCAGGTTTACACAGAATGTCAGTGTGAGTTCTGTCCCCCAAAGCTGGAAACAAGTTGTTCTAAGATGAACAGAAAAAGGAAAAGAAAAGAAAGGACAAAATCTTACTCTAATGTTATTAACTTATCTAAATCTCAGTGTTACTTAATTCTAATTGCATGAACTGATCAGCATGTTTTCTCTAAGTCCTAAAATGTCTCTAAGTGTGATATGAGATATTCTTCCTCATGCTGGTTCTAAGTCTCATAATGTGCTTAGCAAACTTCACATCACTCTATATTAATGCTGACCATATTTTGTTAAGCGTTTGTTTTAGGAAGTATCTGAACCAGAACGTAATGCATTATGATGTTACAAAATAGCTTTGCTATAAAGAAAATCATGACATTCAAAGGTTTGGAATGCAAGTTTATGTTAAGATAATCACAACTGCTCTAAGGCGTTGATTACAAATTTTGATTGTATTTAGTTTGCAATAGATGCTTTAGAATTAGAAGTACAGTTAAACCTATAGGTTGTTTTGTAAGACAGAATAGATGTTATTTTAGACACCATGTAAATGTAAATATTTTGCTGATCTCTGCTGTTGTACATAAATAAACCATAATTCACTTACTCTGACCATAAAGCTGTGTTAATTTGAGTATCTGATGTGTTTGGCTTTTTGCAGTGTTTTCTTCACGTCCAGCAACCAGCAACAGAAACATCTCCTATTTTGGCCGAGCTTAATAATTAATTGAAGTTTTATTGATCTCAGCAGTGGCTGCCATCGTTGGGCACCAGAGAGCAATCAGGGTTAAGGGTCTTGCTCAGAGACCCAGAGTGGCAGTCTGTGGACAAGGGTTTCGAACTCGCAACCTCAGGATTCCAAGCTCTATGCCCCAACCACAAGGCCAGCACTTCCCTCCAAGCTTTTCATGTTAGCTGCAGCACTTTCTAGTTCTGCCAGTGTTCTTTGCTCGAGCCGCTTCGGCTAGATGACCGTGATTCCTCCAGTCTCCGCCTCATTCGGTCTCGGCTGCACGGCTTCAGTTCACCAGGCTCACCTCGGCATTTAGTAATCAGCTGGTCACAAGTCTGGACGACTCTAGTGCAACTCCGAGCCCCCCTGGGCTCAGGGCACCGTATCCTAACCTTTCAGCCAAACTCATCCAACTCCCGTGTCTACACACCATCCTTAATTACTCTGTAAACAATAATGCATGTTTTTTATGCCATTTTATGTTTAAGACAACCACAATACTGTTTTAGGTTTAATTAAATTCTCCATGTAAATAATTTGCCTTGTTAATTGTTTTATGAAAGAACAATTTATAAATCATAGTTTTCAAATAGCAAAACAACTTTCCAGCTTTTACTTCAATGTGTTAAAAGGACTTCATTTTATTTATCTCTTACCCCTAATAATTGTTGAGTTGTATTTGTTCTGTTTCAAGTTTCATGAAAAGTTAATTACATTAAGAAATCCTTAGCATAAATGTAACTTGCTCTTTTTGAAAATTCACCTTTAAGTATTCTTAATAATTAGTGTTTCACTTATTCACTTTGTTACAGTAAGATCAACATAACTCAGGAGTAATCTAATTCTGTCATCTATGTGCAAAGGAAGGATTTGTCTAATCATGTGGGGTTTATCATAATCAAATATAAGCTTAAAAATCAGTCCCTTTACATGCCGTCAACAATATCATTCTAGTGTAACAATCAGTACATTGTTTTCAGTTAAAAATGCTTCTAAACCCTCGGGCCCTAATTCTATTTTGATCGCCCCTGTGTGCACTCTGCTAACTGTGCTTCTCCTTCTGCCTCTCAGTGAAAACAAGCAGCTGTGTGTGTGTCAGGCATAATGTCTGTGAGTAGAAAATGTGTGTGTGTTGAGTTTCCGTTTGCCTCGGGACAGAATTCAGAACCATTTTTGGACCTTACTGTTGGGCGGGAGGTGGGAGGGGGGGTTTACAGAACTTTTAGTACAAATCGATTTTCTACCTTTAACATGTTAATTTCAAGACATAGTAAGATGTAAATGTATTACTCAATATATTTCTTATAAAATCGACCATAGTTTTTCACTTTTTATAAACATTTGAAAAAGAGGATCAACACTTTAAATCAATAATTTCAGCTCCTCTCAAGGTTCACCTCCAGAAATCACAGCAACATCGATAGCATTTGCAAAACAACATATAACAAAATATAACTAAAACAAAACACTTTATAATAGAAAATGTCTAGACCAGATCCTATTTCTTGTGCACATTATTTGTATTTTCTTTTTCGAAAGTTTTGTCATTGTTTGTCTTGTAGTATTTTCCGATGACTTTGGTCCCACTCATTACTGAATTACTCAAAACGCATCCAAATAGAACGTGCAGAAATTCGACTTTTTGAGCAACAGGTTTCCTGCATACCTTTCTTATCATATGTCCGGACGTGGATGCATAGAGAGAATCCAGTTCTTCATGGGATTTTATGTTTATTGCCATATTAATCTATGTTTAAACATAACTGTAATCTAATTATCTGCTTTTTAATTCTCCTATTGATCTGTTTATACTGAAACATAATAGAACTAATATTTTATACCCCAGACAGACATGTTGACATTGAACAAACAACATAGAACAGACAGACAGACAAAGAACATAAAGACAGACAGACACATGCCGGCTTCTAACATAGTTTTGTTTATAATAATATATAGTCCTATTTAACAGATACAGAACGTCGTGGCATTTTTAAGCTTCCAGCGTGTGTGTGTGTCAGCGCACACACAGACAGGCTCATAGGACAAGGAGAGAAGAAAAGAAGGGAGGGGGCTTTTGCTAAGAAAAACTTGTTTTGAAGCTTTTAGATGTTGTCTTACAAATTTTGAAACTTCTCTTATATCCACTGTTTACGTAACAAATTGTTCTGTAATAATTAACAACTTTTCGACCAAGTATGTTTAAACATTGGGCACAGTTAAGCCTTTTCTGTTAGAACAAACAACTGGACACCTATTTTTCATGCAGCTCTGCTATTAGAAAATGTGACGCAGTTACAATTAAAGTGAAAGCAGACGTCTTTTGCAGATATAAAGTGATCACTTTCTTTCTTTTGTTTAGTCTTTTATGTTTTTAGACTTATTTATATAATTATTTGCACTTTTTATGTTTTGTTTCCTTATTTAATGACTTTTATTACCTCCTTTTGTTTTGACCTCTTATGTCCTCTGGGACACTTAGGAGAGGTTATTAAACATCTCTACATTTTGTAGGGACTAGATCTTACTTTACACTGTTTTCAGTCTGATTAAATTACAGTGATTAAGCAGATCTGATTACAGATTCTGGAAGGAGGTTTGAATTTAAACAGATGTTTTTAGTGTACACTTAGATTTCAAACACACACATTTCAAACAGCACCGGTCAGACAGAATCACACAGAGTCACACGTTAATACAGAATCACACGGAGCTCTTTAGACATTCATACCATTAAATGCCATGGCAATTAATTATTTGTGCACATAATTCTTTAACTTCATAGACCCAAGCAGCCAATATAAACTAATTTGCATGCACTTTTAACTCTTTTTAACAACTTTTGGTCTAACATCATCAACACAGAGCTAAACTGCTCTCTGTTGCTTCTTTCTCCGGAGATAAACAACAGCAACATACGAGATCTCAATACAGTCCCTCTGGACTCAGGCCTATTTTTCAACAACAACAGCCTTTCAGGCTCAGTCGAACTGCAACTCGGCGACATGTCCTAGGAAATAGAATTCCTCACTAGAATGAGATATACATATTAGTTGCATCATTCATAATGATACATCACTTATAATCCGTGACCGCCAGTTTCCACCAATTTCTATAAAGTTATGGTGCAATCTCGCTTCAGCAGATTACTATTAATCATCCAAAAACAAAAATCCGAGCCAGTTCTCGACAGCTACTATTTATCTCAAGATGCCAATTTATGCTGCAGCAAACATCCAGTGGCAAACAGATAATCGTCTGATACAGTTTGAATGTGTGTCCAGCTTCCAAACAGCTTAAGTGACTCACCTCTCCTGATAAAGTTTTTCTTCAGTGATTCTAAAGTTGTTCCCGGGTTCTTTTCTCAGCCAGGCCAATGCACCAAATGTGGTGGTTTTCAATGGTCAAAAATCAGGACACCTTCAGTCGATCATCTGATTGCCTCAGGACGGGAGAAGAAGCGTTTATTTCAAAGATCAAATTCACATGCTGTCCTCAGTACACGTAACACAGCGCTGAACACTTCAACAGAACACATCTGGCTTTTCTCTCTTGCAAGTTCTCGACTCACATACCAATCCACAGAGCATTTATAGTCTCATCTTTGCACTATGTGTACGCACATGCACAACGGAATATTGCCGACATCTTACTGGAATGCACGTGCGCAGATTTGCGTCAAAGTCACTGCGACCCTCAAGGAATGTTTATACGTGATGTTCTCTCTTTTGCCAAACCCCCTCATGCAGCCTAGGAGACCATGGTGTTACTGAGATTCAAAACTGACCTTTAAGCTTCGTTCCTGAGGCAGTGTACAGCCATGCAACAAGTCTATATAAGGCAAATAGCCTGCTTCAACACCTTAAGGACGATTAGCTAAGTAGTTGTACCCAGCAGATAGCTAGTTATTTTACTAAAAAGGTTAATAATCAACTATTACTCAGGTAACAAAAACTGAGTCACGTACTGGAAACTTTTCTCCATCTCTCTTTCTCTGGAAGTGCTGGAGATATTTAGCCTTATGAGACCATCCTGATCTCGTGAGCTTTCAAGGTTTCACTCGCAGATCAGTCTGGAGACTCTAATTTTCTTAAAGAAAATTTGGAGCCGTTCACCAAACGAACGTCCAATCAGCGTTGGCTTTGAGGCGGGTTGAGGTGTGACGCAACGAGAAGCGCGACAGTTCAGTTTAAAGAACATGGCGGCTTCAGCCAATGAAACTAGCGTTAGCGTGGCTATCGAGCAAGTTTTATCTGAATTACAGAGTATTTCTTCACTGAAAGAAGAGCAAAACACTGCTCTGGAGGCTTTTCTCAGAGGAAAAGATGTTTTTGCTCTTCTCCCGGCTGGTTTCGGCAAGAGTAGCCTGGCTTGTGGTTGTGTTTTCGTCGTCGCTTAGGCCAATCAGCTAACCAGTATTTTCGCCTCTTCCCAAAATTACTTCGGCGAAAGGTTTCCAGATGGATATGCGGAGCAAATCCATCTGGCGGAGTCAGGTTAGGAGATATTTCCCTTAAAAAATCTATCTTTATCTTTTCAAGATGGTTAAAAAAATACTGCTCATCACCGTCCGCCATGTTGTTGTTTTTCTTCCAGCATCTGCGTAGCAAGACGCAGAATAGTGACCTTTGAGGGGTAATACTGGCTTCCAGTTTGGATGAATGCAACCTGTGTCTGAACGGCTGGGTTGCATTTGAAAAGATCAGATTCGTTTCGGCTTCAGGACCACAGAGCCAAGTAACCTGACTCCGCCAGATGGATTTGCTCCACATATCCATCTGGAAACCTTCCGATGAAGTAATTTTGGGAAGGGGTGAAAAATACTGGTTAGCTGATTGGCCCATGTTGGTGATAGACGGGCCAAATAAACCAATCAGATCAACGAAGCATATGACGTACTAACAGAGCGACGACGAAAACACAACCACAAGCCAGGCTACTCTTGCTGCTGCAGGTAAAGGCTTGTTAGCTCAGCAAAGCCTCCAGAGCAGTGTTTTGCTCTTCTTTCAGTGAAGAAATACTCTGTAAAACTTGCTCGATAGCCAGGCTAACGCTAGTTTCATCGGCTGAAGCCGCCATGTTCTTTAGACTGAACTGTCGCGCTTCTCGTTGCGTCACACCTCAACCCGCCTCAAAGCCAACGCTGATTGGACGTTCGTTTGGTGAACGGCTCCAAATTTTCTTTAACGGAGAGTCTCCAGACTGATTAGCGAGTGAAACCTTGAAAGCTCGCAAGATCAGAAAGGTCTCACGAGGCTAAGAGCCAAGTGGCCTGGGTCCCATTGGAAAAAAGATGGGATCATTGTTGTTCAGACTGCCATGAAAAGATCCGACACAAATTGGATTTGGGTCACTTCAGGCTGCAGTGTGAACGAGGCCTTAGTGCTGCTTTAAATCTGTTTTTGATAAGAGATTTTTAAAATGTTTTTTTGATTTTTAAATTGCTAAAGCTCATGTTCTGATTCCAGGCTGCCACTAGCAGTAAGCTGCTAGTGGCAGCCTGGAATCTGTGGTCCTTCAAGGCCATTTCTAAAGACAGTTCTGTAGTCAGAGATGGCAAAAGTACTCACTTTCTGTACTTGAGTAAAAGTACAGGTAGCCTACTTGTGTTAAAAAATACTCTGGTAAAAGTGGAAGTACTGATTAAACTTCTTCATTCAAGTAAAAGTAACAAAGTACAGGCTTGTATATTTACTTAAAGTATAAAAGTAAAAGTAGAAACCACTTTTTTCATGCCGTTGCCTACATTTTAAATGGATGTCTGCCAATAGGACTAGATCTCCGTTGTGTTCATTTTCAATCATCTCGTCGTCCATGCTACTATGCGAACGCCACCGCCACCAAGCTGCAATGATTTGCCGCCAATGAATACCGCCGAATCTGTCGATTCATCTTGTAGTGGTGCGTCAAATGCAACGTAGATTCCCATCCAATTAGATTGAATTTGGTATTGATGACGTGAAAAATAATAACGGTAACTCCATTGAAATGATTCAAAACTAAAGTAACGA